AAGTTATTGAGTGTCTTGATATAGATACAGAAGTTAATATCGGACAAAGTACTCAAGAAAGTAGCAAACCATAGACACGTGTTTCGGGCTTTTGGCCCATCATTAGTATGGTGCAGCCAAGTATGAATATTTTTCCTTTACTATCTCCGTATTCAGCCATTCTGAAACAATGTTTTTTTTTTACTTTACACTCCATTTTCTTGTTTGCAGAGAGCGCATCTTGCCGTTTGTGACTTGACCATAACTCCAGAAAGAAGAGAAGTTGTGGATTTCAGTATGCCTTTCATGACACTAGGTATAAAATCTCATCAACAACACTAACCTGCACTTTTTAACACGCCTTTATCAGCTTCACTTGTATGTTTGTTTGCAATCGACTTCTTCGAACTCGATTTTGACGAACTTCATCGGATAGATGTATTTTAAACTCTGAAAATACAATAATTTCATGATTTTATCTCATTATCCTGATCAGGATCGCTAGGATTGAACAATTTCCTCACAACACAGCCTCACAACACAGCTAGTGAGGCAACCGAAATAATGTCACATATATCACAAAAAAGACTTTGGGAGAGTTACAAAAGATCAAAAGCCCCAGATGATTACCAAACTCATCGAAATTTCTCAAAACATCTGGTATCAACACTGCAATCTTCACGTCTTGAGTTTGCAAACTCTGAAAACAATTAAAACTGTAAAAGTTCATACGATCTAACCTGAACACCAGAGTAAGCATTCCGCTCCTACGAAAACCTGATGGTTCCTTGTGTTCTACAAACATCTAATCAGTTGAAATTTAGGTCGACTCTTCCACAAGCTCCTTCACAAATGAGCCGCGAGATGATCAATTACCGGCAATCATAGCAGAACGACTGCGTGTTAATCTGAACCACGTGACGTTTACTTCGGAAAAAACTAAAGATCATTTATTGAACATCAAATTGAATACATTTCCTGGTTTGGATGAAATAGGCCCCTTTTTTCTCAAGAAATTTGCCGAAACTCTCTGCTCTCCGTTGTCAACAATCACGTCAGTCTCTTCCGCACAATCTAAAATCCCACGGGTTTGGGAGAAGGCGTCTGTCACCGCTCTTTTCGAAAGAGACAATCTCAATCCAATTAACTACAGGCCCATTGGTCTTCTATCTGTAACTTCTAAAATAATGGAATCAATATCTGTATCTGTAGAGTAGAGAGGGTGAGTGTAAGCCCACAGCACTTAGGCCACATGTGACCCATTGTACATCCTCCCGAAGAGTTGTCCTCCTAGGTCATCGTCCATCCTGCCCTTTCCAGGAAGGTGAACAGGTCACTTGAAGACATCTCCTTTATATCGGCAGGTGTAGGCCAAGACTTGCCTGACAGTCTCATCTTCCTGTTCACACATCATGCATAGAGGTGAGTCCACTAGCCCCATATTATGGAGGTGTTTCCTTAGTTGACAGTGGCTAGTAAGAAATCCTACTATTAAGCGTAGATTTTTCCTGGTCATCGCCAGATATTTTTCCGGCGCTAGCTTCCTAGGGTCGCCAAGGGTGATCCTGGCAAGATTGCACCCTTTGATTTCATTCCATCTCTTTAGGGATTGAGCATGGATGTGATGTTTGGCTAGTTCCGCAATTGTCGAAGTCATCAGGCCGTAAGTGGAATCAATGATTGGAACAGCATGGTTTCGTTAAAGGGTAATCCACCACCAGCAATCTTCGACAGTGCACGATCGATTGGACGACAGCCTACGTCACAAAAATATCGACAGATATTGTTTATGCTGACTTTGCTTTTAACAGGGTCCCAATGAGGAGGCCAACGTACAAACTTGACACACTTGGTATTCGGGGTCGAATGAACCTATGGATTGAAAATTACACGACAGATAGAACTTTCACGATCAAAGTGGGCCACTCTTTTCCTTCGGAGAGACAAGCCACAAGTGTAGTTTCCCTGGGGTCTGTTCTTGGCCAGCTTCTCTTTGTTGCTTATGAAAGTGATCTTGATCTCCATATAACGTCCTGCAAGTCATTTTATGCCGATGATACTGAACTGTGTGGAAATGCCTTAGTTGAACATCAATTTTTTCAAAAAGACTTCAACTCGATTAGTCAGTGGTGTGAGGATCGGTTTTTACCTCTTAACATCGATAAGTGCGTCGTACTTCATCAAGGAAATAACAATCCACTCCACACGTACACAGTAAACGGTCAATCGTTACGTGTACTCACATGTAGACTTGGGAATGACTATTAATACTGACCTGACTTAGTTCGAACATATTATATCCACATGCAAACACGCCAACACACTGATCTACGTTTGTTTGAAGGTAATTGACAATGTTTCATGATGAATTTCATTAGTTCGGACTTCCACTGTCTGATATTATATAAAATGATTTGAAATCCCTGAAAGAACTAAAAAGAAGAAAGAACAAAGAACAAAGAACAAGCAAACCAGCAAATCAGGAATAGCAGAGCATGTTTGGACCCATCAACATAACATCAAATGATCCCAAGCTGAGATCATACACAAAGAGGAACATTGGTTTAGGAGGAAATTCAAAGAAGCCACATACATGTTATCCAACAATGTATTCAGCCAAGCTAGCGTAGAGATACACAACATATGGAAACCCATAATCAAGCGAAAAATGGCCAACTCCCGCCAAAACGGTCATCTCCCACGGAACCAGTGAAGCGGAAAATGGAAAGTGGGGATAAGTGAAAGTACTCGAACGACCTATAAATAGTCATCTCTCGGAGGAATCAGTCCAGTCATCACCCGAAGACGATTGTAGTTACTAACAATCGAAACGTCGTGAACTAACGTGACTTGGAATCTCTACACTTTTTATTATTTTCTTTTTTCATTCCTTTATTTTTATTTATTCAATTGTTATATTTTTACTTGTAGTTTATTTTACTATTATTTCATTTCAGGTTTTTTTGCTTAGTATAATTGTTTTTTCAGCTATTCGTTTTAATTCTTGTTCTTTAATTTTTAATTATTCTTTTTAGTTCTTTCAGGGATTTCAAATCATTTTATTTAATATCAGACAATGGAAGTCCGAACTAATGAAATTCACACTGATCTACCTCATCAGCGAAATGTTCTCCCATCTATCATATTCAAGTTTCATAAAACTGTAGAAAACTTACGTTCGTCCATGTTGAGGAATGAATATGAGAACATCATTCAGTTGTAGTTGATGTATAATTTTATTTTATTTAGTTGTATATAGTTGCTATTGTATTAAAAAAAGAAAAATAGTTTTGTCAAAAAAAACATTTAATTTTCTTTAACTGAGGAAAGTAATTAATTTCAAAAGGTTATGGGCCCAGATGATAAGTTGGGAATTCGTGAGTTCGATGGTACAGATTCCGACCATTGGAAATTTCGAATGGAATTACTGTTTAGTAAACGTGAAGTTGAAGAAGTGATTAATGAAGTAGTTCCCTTGCCGGAAGACTCCAAGTGGAAGAAAAAGGACATCAAATGCCAGAATATTATTGTGAAGTGCTTAGCTAATTCGCATTTGGAATTCGTTAAAGATAAGAAATCTGCGAAAGAAATGTAGGAAGCACAAGAAACTTCATGTCAAAAGAAAGGACTTGCCAGTAGAATTATTTAAAAAAGTAGCTTTCATTGCTAAAATTAGAGGAAAACGAAAGTATGAAAGGCATTTAAGAACATTTTATTGAGATTGTAAGACATTTGAAATCGGCAGGTCAAAAATTGAAAGAAGTTCAGGTTATTACGCATTAATTGATTATGTTACGTTAGAGACATTATCTGAAGATAAATTAACATTGGATTTAGTAAACGAAAAAAACAAGGTAAACAATAGACATAGTAGTGATGAACTACAAAGTGCATCCTTCTTTATCAAAAGTGGAGCGAAGAAAAACCTAGAATCCAGACCATTTTAATTCGATTGCTACCGATGCGGAGTCAGAGGCCATACAAAGTCAAAATGCAAATATAAGGGTCACTTAAAAAATCATAATAAAAATTATAAAAGTGTTTACT